TGTGCAACCATCACCTCTAATTCCAGAACATTCGCATCATCCCAGAAGGAAACCCCGTGCCCACTGGCACTGCCCCCTTTCTCCCTGCCCCCTGCACTCTCCATCTCTGTGGACTGGCCTGTTCTGGACGTTTCACATAGACGGAATGGCGCACGGCGTGGCCTTTTGTGTCTGACTCCCTCACTGAGCGCCGTGTTTTCAAGGTTCGTCCACGTGGTAGCGAGTGTCAGTGCTTCTCTCCCTTCTGTGCACGAGCTTTTGAGTGGATGTATGTTTTCAGTTCTCTTGGGTCTGTACTCATTTTTAATTGCAGGGTTTTTGTTTAATTGCACGAATCAAATGCAAATATGCTACTGAACACTAGGCATAAGCTACATGTTTCTCCACCTCCTGCCTCTTCCCTCAGCCCGGACCCTCCTCTCGGGGAAGATCCACTGCTCGGGGGCCTTCGACCCACCGTTCTCCGTGTGTGCAGACGTCTGCGCGGCCCCAGGGGAAAGTGTCCATTATCTTGTGATTGTTTTCACGAAGATGAAATCTCCATCTTAATGACATTTTGGCTGTGTTCCTTGTTTGTTTTTCTACAAAATCCCCGTAGAATTACCTGCTTTTATTTTTTCCTTTCGCTCGAACAAATCAAGTAATAACTTTACAAAATAGTGCTCCAACCTTGAGTACAACACAATGGTTTTGTATTTATATACAGACACCCGGGTTACCACCACGCAGCAAAGCAGGACGGAGCTGGGCAAGCCCTGGTCCAAGGGCCAGATCCCGCCCCTGCCTGTGTTGTGTGGCCTACAGTCTAAGAATGTTTTTACATTTTTCAATAAACTTTTAAAAACCCAAAGAAGACTAATCTCTTAGCACAATGACAGTTGTGTGGGATGCCCATTTCTGTGCCATGAATAAGATTTTATTGGAACACAGCCGCGCTCATTCTTTTGCGTATTGGACGGCAGTGACATTGCTGCACGGCTGTGACAGACCCACAAAGCACAGAGTATTGGTTCCCTGGCTCACAGAGCTGGTAGCGCCCCTCCGCTCACTCATCACCTTCCATGGCTCCCCAGTGCCCCCGGGATAAAGTCCAGACTATTACGAGTGTGGCTATGAGAGCCTTCCGCAGCTGGTCCCTACTCATCTTTCCCTCCTGACTCTCTGCTTTTAATCCATTCACGTTTAAAATCATGATTGACAGGTAGAGACTTACGACCGCCGTTTTGTTTATTGTTTTCTAGCTGTGTTTTAGATCTTGCTGCTTCGCCTGCTGTCTTTGTGTGTGTGTGTGTGTGTGTGAGAGAGTCTCTGGTGCACAGCACAATGTCCAGCCACGCATGTACATGCATACATTCATTTTCATATTCTTTGTGTGTGTTTAGGTGCCTTGGTATCATCAATCTGCCTTGCTTTCTCTACCCTGGTCTTCGGTGTAATTAGCACAGGTTTTCCCCCTTTAACCACCACGAGGCTGACATGAAATGCCTTAAAGTTGTAACGTCCGCCTCAAACTGACAACCGCTGAACGCTGGTTCAGCAGCCCGGAAGCTACACCTTTACTTCTCTTCCACGGACTTTTTTATATTGTGTATCCAATAATAGACTATTATAGTTGTGGTTCCTTTTACCACCTTTGCTTTGCTTTTTATTTTTTAATATTTATTTATTGTTTGGTGGAGGTGCTGGGGCTTGAATGCAGGACCCCGCGCCTGCTCAGCCTGTGCTCTGCCACTGAGCTACTTCCCTCCCTGCTACCATGTCTGCTTTTTAACTTTTAAGCTTCAGTTGCATGTGAATCACGCACCAGCATCACCCAGTCAGGGAATCTGACTTCGGCCATGTATTTGCCGCCACCAGTGAGTTGTGTGCGGCTGTCTCAGGTTTTAAGGATGTTAATTAGCACCCTTTCGCTGCCACTCAACTCCCTTTAACGTTTCTTGTAAGGCAGGTCTAGTGGCGAGAACTCCCTCGGGTTTCGTTCATTGGGAAAGTGTTTCCCCTTCATTCCGAAGGGCAGCTTTGCCGGATACGGAAGTCTTGGTTGACAATTTTTTTGGTTTCACTATCTTGAATATATCACCGCATTCTCCCCTGGCCTGGAAAGGTTCTGCTGAGTTTCCCGCCTCGAGCTTCGCGGGTGGCGGGGCTCCCCGTGTGCGCACGCACAGGGCCGCTGGCTTTGCTCGCAGCCCGCGGGCTCTGCC